TTTTTACTTCACATGAGAAATAAAACACTCTTACCTGATATTTGCAGGTTAGCAGTACAATCCCTCACTCACCTAAGAAATTAACAGGCCTTTCAGGACTATAGAGAAACAAAAAGCAACACCTGTGGACAGGCTTTATGGTAGAAAGGTATTGATGGAGCAGGCCTAGGTCACATAGTATGATTAATCATCTACCTTTAGAAGCATTAGAAGCATTTTTAATATATACATAAAATATTGTGTGTGTGTGTGTGTGTGTGTGTGTGTGTATATATAAAGTGTGTGTGTGTGTGTGTATATATATATATAAAGCTATAATTTGTATTTGGAGAAAAGAAACAAAAACAGTCTGCACAGTTGAATAAGGGTGGGATGGGGGAAAAGGAAAAAACAAACTTTAGCTTCTGCTAAAGCATATATTCTCAGCTGTTACCACTAGCTTTAGGATTCCATTACCTTAGTGCTGGAACATTTAGGGTCTCAGAATTTCCTTGGAGCTCCACTTTCCCAATTAACTGTAGGTGCTCACCCAGAGCTGTGGTCCTTTTGCAAGACAGCAGAGCTGGTCTTCTGCTGAGTGTCGACTTCGCGCCCAAGCCCTAGCGAACAGTTAAACATGTCCTTACCTCTCTCCACATACTTTATGGAAAGGAGATTAAAAATAATAAAACCATCAAAAATAACCAGGAAATCCTTTTCATTTTTCTGCTGGAGAAACTGGAATCTGGTTAGCTCCGATGTTAGATGTCCATGAACATGTGTGAGTCGCAGAGCCTGCCCTTGCTCTGGCTGTGACGGGGTCGCCATGTCTGGCAGGGCCTGGGGCCTGGCCCCGCTTCAAAGCCCTGTAACCCCAGCTGAGTCCAGGAGGTGACAGGTTACAAAATCCTTGGCTTTGGCAGTATGGAGTATAATTTGTAACGCGCACCCTGTTGTGACACCAACCAGATATTCTTAGGCCTCTGTTCGCAGAAAGTATCTTAAAAGCTGAGCAGGCTACAGCAACTTTGACCTCATGAACAGGCAAGGTGCTCCCCTAAACACACCCGATCACACTATGACCTGACTGATAAAGACTACGGATTGAAGAATTCCTCACAGAACGTTCATTTTCAGCTGCCAGTTAGGCACATTAGGTACCTATTTGGGCTGATTGGTAGTTATTTACTGCTGTAGCACTGCTTCAGCATAGCTACCTGAATTAGAATCTATTGCTATCATACCAAGTTTGACAAAGACAGATACTATAAAAGCACCTTAAAGAAAATCTTTTCAACTTCTTGTCACCTTAAAAGGCATGGGAAGAAAGTTAGACCTGACAGGCAGTGATTTTAAAACTGAATGCCTCTTCTCTGGAAGTGTTAGTAACGCGGCACTTGCCGCCAAAGCAGCAAACAAATCTAAGGCAATGTATTAAATATATTTATTACTATGTCATTTCTTTAATATTTAGTTGCAATCTTATGTCATAATCAATGTACACTGTTTCTTTCCCGTAAGACCTCTCCTTCCAAGACTGCCTTTGCTTGTCCTCTTTTGTTTTTCCTTTTTTTCCCCGAGCAAAACTATGTTTAGCCAAAAACTTCTCATTACTTCCAGAGGAGATTCATGAGAGAAAAATGCAACGTTATAGTCAGAGCTATGAACATCTCTAGATTAAGCATCTGACAATTTTTTTTGGTTTAATCCAATTTTGGTGTTGAACCAGACAGCAGCACGTTCCTTCTAGGACAAACGTTCTCCTACTGTTGTCACCACTCTAATATCAATGTTATGTATCTTCGTCATGGGAGCAAGAGTGCTCCTAACCATACACAGAAAAATATTTTGTCGACATTGCTAGAACTGTAATAAAGTCTTGTTAGAACTGGTTGTTTTTGTATAAAATCTCCCACTTAATTGACTAAGATTAAAGCACAGCTCTGTGATCCTTCGAGCTTGGAAGGTTTTCTGCACTAACGTTCCTAACTGAGGTTGTAGAGGATGGACGTAATACCTCATCTCAGGAACTAATTCCCCAACGGGAGCATTTGCTAGCACACCGTACCTGGATATAGAGAACACAACACATCATAAACGGCTATCAACTATTGCTACGTAAAGGAACCTTAAGCCAGAGCTGGTAACAAATCATGATGTCTTGTCTTTACCTCCGGCAGCAACGAAATAGAAAACATGAAAGAAATTAACACATGGGGAAGGGGAGAAAATCGACTTTTCTAGGATCTGCTTCAACGCAGTGTTCCCTGATATCTCATGCATTTTTCCCAACCTTCTCCCAAAAAGTGAGGCAACACATAATGCTAATAAGCGCAACAGGTAAATTGGTCACAACAGGTAAATCGGTCTTTCTGCTACAGTACAATCCCCTTTCTCAGCTTTGAAGTTGTGTCTTTTCTTTTTCCACTTGTGGGAAAATATGATTCTTGTACTACTCTTACAAATATTTTATTGTCCAATAATCACAGACAGGAGTGAGAAGCACCTTCACAAGAATGCTGGTTTCTTGCACCTCAGTTTCCCTTTGTGACCCCACACACACACACACACACACACACTCTCCTGTCTCTCATTCCTCACCATTCCCCCATCACCACCCTCTCGGTGGCAGCCAAAAGTTTCATGCAAGTGATGCTTCATCAAAATTCATCATTTTCTTAATAATGTTTCTCATTATGTCTATTTGATACACCAATAAACATTACCTTAGATTTTATCATAAGAGAAATTACTGAATGGCAATAAGGTCAAATAATCCAGCTAAATGGATATTACCTTATAAGGAACCGAGTCCAATACTTTGGTGCCCGTTTAGCAATTCTTGCTCAAGAGGGGTCCTTTATAAATATTTTAAATTCTGCAATAGGTGCTTGAAATCACACAGTATCTTTGAACTCCTAGCAAGCAAATCGCAATCTATTGGACATGCTAATCCAGAACTAAAATGATTGTTTTCTTCTACCATAAACAGTTTGCTTGATTTGGTCTACAGCTCTGCAGTTCACTTGGGATTTATATCCACAGCATCAAACTGTAGATTTTATTATACCTTTTTCATGTGATTTTTTTTACGATACCATCAGATTTTTAATATTACACAATTTTTTAGATAGTTTTTTCTATGGTATTTGCCTACTTGCTTAACTATGTTCACTGTGAGAAGGATTTGGAGTCTACGATACCATCAAATTTTTAATATTACGCAATTTTTTAGATAGTTTTTTCTATGCTATTTGCCTACTTGCTTAACTGTGTTCACTGTGAGAAGGATTTGGAGTCTGGAGTTTCAAACATCACTAGTCAGGTAGTTGACTACGGTTGCTGGTGATTACTCCCTACAAATTGAAACCAAGTATGTGAAAATTGTCACAGAGAAGAGATCATAGATCATCCAAAACACTTACAAATAGTTTAAAATACTTCAGGTCAACACACTACAGATGAGTTATTAAAAAAAAAAAAAAAAAAAAAAAAAAGGTTAAATCCTTCTATTTTCATGTTCCTGGAAATTAACTGATATGGGACACGCTGGAAGGAATTCTACAGAAAGGAAACCACTGACATAGCAAGAAGCATGTATTTAATTAAATGCTTTGCAAAAGATACATGAATAAAGCTATGTGCATGACTTTCTTTAGGGATGGCCCCAGCTGTTTATTTTTTTTAAAGAAACAAACAAAAATGTGGAGAGCACAAATGCAGTAAAGAAACAAAAAAAACTAAGTAAGTTTGTACCTACATGCTTTACATAATAAAGCAGGCTGGTGGTACAAAACATTCTATATACTGTATGACCAACAGATAAATGCACTGTAACATTGTTCTTTCACACACCATAAGCCTAACAGCTAACCTCTGAAAATGACATTGACAGTCGGCATCTTTATTTTATCAGCCTTCTGCAGAGTTATTTAGCACCATCACTTTTTTTTTTTTTTAATTTTTGCCCTGCCTATCTCCGTTCTTGAAATAATAACAGAAGCATAGCACCCTTTAATATCTAAAATAAAAACAAGAATATTAAATGCATCCCAGTTTCAAGAGATGAGGTAGCTCATGCTAAGAAATGATGGAACTTTCTCGCCTTGACAATTCAAGGCCATTAAGTCAACAATTACTGGTGATGCATGTCTGGATGTCAGCTAAAAATAATGAATTTCTAAACTCTTTATTAGCGAATGGTCTGGTATACATGTGAATGACTTGCAACATACATTAATCGGCACCATATATAAGACATCTGTATAATTTGGTATGTAATGGCTTATTAGATGGACAAGTACTGGAAAATCAACAAGCATTGGGCTTAAGATGTATTTTGAAAGTAAATTATAATTTAATGGAATTACGTGGGCATATTGTGAGAAAAGAGAAGTCAGGCCTTTAAATTCATATATGGGACAGTTCTACTGAAAACTCTTATTTATCCCAGTAGTAACTGGACTTCATATATTAATCATGTCTATGGAACTGTCTTCTATTGCCCAGGAAAGTGCAGGAAAGGCAATGCTGAATTAAGATGGTCTTATGTTCTTATTTGAAGGGATTTTATTCTCTAGATTTCTGTGAATGGCTATCACACTGGCAACCACAGGAAGACAAGCAGGAGTAGACCTGACTGAAATGCAACCAACAGTTAACACAAGTGCTCTACTCTTCTGTTACTCAGTATGCATCCAAGCTAAAGAAATAATCTTTAGAGCTTTACACAGTCCTGCATTAAAACTATCTATTTTGAATACCTGTAAATTTTGAAATAATCTGAAGCAAAAGCAAGGAAAGATTCAGATTATTTTTAAAAGGTCATCACCCCTCCTCTTACAATAGTACTGTTGTACTAAAAAAGTTAATTTCAATCATTTAAAACAGAAGGTTTGTAAGTAAAATAAATATTCAAAAGGAGGCTGGGCATTTAAGAAGAACTGTATATACAATGCTGATCCAATATCAGCCATTACTTCAAGAGTCTCAGGATTATCTTCAGAGTCTAAGTCCATGAGTAATTGCTGCTGCTGCTGGGTAGTGTGTAAATTTGCCTCCTCTCTCCTACACAAAGCAAACTGGCCCAATTTCAACTCCAAATTCCTGGTCGGCGCTGCCAATGTCCACCGGTGCAATGTCTGTGACAGGCAAGCGCGCCACGTTCTGCGTTCTGTACTCAAAGACTGTCTTGCCCACGTTCCCGTTACGTTTCTGAAAAACAAAGACAGGGAGAATTATGCAGCTTGTACTTGATCATTTTTATTCCCGCTGGGATTTTTTGAATTTATAAATACCCTCTAAATATTGCAGACTTCCATTAAGTGAACCTAGAACTGTATTAAAATCTCTATTTGATCTTTACTTCCACAATTCAGGTTGAAATTCTGCAACATTTTAATTATCTTGTTCCATGAATTTTTGCTAAATTGAGGAGAACTGACAATATTCCAAGCCAAATGTCCTTTTTCTCCATACCAAACGATAAAAAGACAGAACTTACAGAACAGCTGTCATGAAGAACAGTGTATCTGAATCGGCTGTTTCCCTCTGCTTTGATCTCCAGGTCGTTGGCCCCTTTCAGAATTACAGCTTTTTTCAGGTTCTTGGTCTGGTCATCCATGTACCCAACACTGTTCTTACAATGGTAAGTGATATTCTGGGAAGCCTCCTTTGACAGAAGGCGCAGGAATGTCATCTGGGTGACAGCGCTATCCCCATACACAAACTGCGAAGATACAAAACAGATCAACACATATGACAGGAAAATTCCTATAAAGCGTGTGAATTATATAAATACCTGCCGTTCTCATAATCATAATCCTTTCCAGATATCACTAGCATAAGGCCTATGACAGAAAATTTAAGAAAGATTTTGTGTTTTGCTGTAAATTCATGACCAAGAAACACACACATCCTGTGGCAGGGATCATTGTGGAAAATATTGATCATAATGCAGGAACTTTGGAAGTGAACAGCTGACCCTATTCTGGACCTCTGGCAGTTGGACCTCCTAAATACTTTGAGTTTTTGAAATCTTATGTATGGCCGCTGTCATTATATAGAAAATGTGCTATTTAAAGCTACTGATATCAGAGGAATATATATTATTTTAGAATATCTGAAGTGTGCATGTTAACTATTATACAGATCATACTGGTAGTTATCAAGTTTCACAGTGTTTTCAAGAATTACTTACTCTTTTATATTTTTTTCCGTAAGATAATTTCTTCCACTAAACAGTATCTGATCTACAAAACCCCTTTTTGTAGCTCTGCAGGCAGCTATATGTCAACTGTGACATTCTAGGTGTTGTCAAGTTCTTCTGCATTTAGTAGGAAGTAAAGTAGGAATAATTGTGCTGATAACAGCACAATTGTTTTCACCTACCAAGACTTGTTTTAAAGTATTTTTTTTCTTTTTTTTTTCTTTTTTTATTTCTTTTTTTGATTCAATAAACTAGGAATGAAAAGGCAAAAGCTGGTGGAATAATTACACACTTCGCAAAAATTACGTTATCTGGCAGCACCATTAAGTCGACATTTAAAAGTTATCACAGAGGGAAAACCTCATGGAAAGCTAGGAGAGCGATTTCTGTCTGTCTGGACAGGGCTGTATTAGACACGGAACATTCCTGATGCACATGATACAAGACTTCCACTTCCTTTAAAACCAGCTTAGTTCAGAGAATTTATAAAGGAGGCTTTATATTTTCTGTAGGATAATAACAGCAGATTGAATACCCAGCAGTCACCACCATTTTAAAGTTCTGACCACAGCAGACTCTGCTCAGCACAGTGGAAAAAATCCAAACCAGAAGGAATTAGAAGAAAATCACTGAAATGAAATGTGTTTAGTTACCTGGGATCCCCTGTTCATATCAAGGCCATACCAAACAGGCTTCTGATCAGATGACCTGCTGGTCCACCACGTTTTGCGTGGGATGGTAGACGGGTTTGCAGAGATGCAGGTCTCTCCAGTTTCCATGTTGCAGTATACTTTGATTGCATCTTCAACACATCCCTGATTAGGATCAATCCAATATTCGCCTACAAAGAACATAGAATTTGGACTCTGCTATATTATTAAGATTCCTGAAATAACTGGGAAGACAATACATACAGAACAAAATCAGGCATCATGTAACAATGTTACATATGTAAATGTGTGCTTTAAATACAAATTATAATTATGCTTTAAGATACATACTGATGAATATTTCAAATTTCAAAATCAAGGAATTCAGACTGGGAAGTTGTTTAAGATTATTAAGGTTGTTTAAATCCATTGCAAAGCTCCCACAAATTCTCAGAGAATATAGATGATACAATGCCTAGAGGTGAATTTCCCTTTGAATGAGAATGCAAAGGCAGCTGCTCTGATTGTTGATGTTGGAGGCAGCTTCAGGACAACAATTTAAGCAAATATTAACAAGTGAGGTAAAACCTATCACTGCAGTCATGTAAGTGCTTTCTGGTGATAACACTTCAAAAAGTAACTCTTCATGAAAGTATGAAATATTCTGGATGTAAAAATGCATCTTAATAAATAATAAATAAGTATCAGTAGATGCACTTCATAAGTAAGAAGAAATAATGCATTTGTGAGAAGTTTTGGAGCTCCTGATGTGAATATGAGTTTAGACCATCAAAATCTGCATACGTAATTTTTCAAAGACTCAAATATACTCTGGAATAAGGCAGAACAGTATGGCACATGCAGAAGGTGTGTTTATACAAACCACTCTTCTTGGAGGGGTGGCAAAGCTTCAGGTCATCGCAAGTCCGCGCTGGGTGCTTTTTGGAGCCATCAGGACTGCGCATCGTCTCGATCTGGCTGCTCAGGGACTTCAGGGTGGCATGGACTCCTGGGTCTGTTTTATTATGATCATCTGGGGCTGCTTCATCCTCAGTAAACTCTGGTAGTGGATCTGCCATAGCATCATCGTAGTGTCCCATAATGTCACCAATGGCAGCAGTCAGGTGGCCTGGAGGGCCTGGGGGACCTGGAGGGCCTGGGTCACCTGGTGGACCCTAAAGTTAAAACAAACAAAAGCAAAAATTGAAACAGAGGGACAGCCGAGTCACCTAGGCAAGACGACAGGAAAGGGAGGCCATTCACTAATAAAGCGAAACATCAGATTCAGTCACCCTAAGGCACAGGCAACACTCAGGCATGGATAACCAAATCACACTCCCAGGAGCAGAGGTCAGAGACTAGAACTGCATGTGAGGAACTCTCTTCATGTCCTCACTGATGTCTTTCTTACTCTGATACTACTGCTCAATTTTTTTCTTATTCCCAACTTTCAGACTAAAAAGCTGGAAAAAGTCAGCAAGCAATGGCCTCTTCATTCCATTTTTAAGCCATCCCTCCCTCTTCCTCAATCTCTCACTAATAAAGTTATTTCTTAAAACTCCCAACATCTGCAAGTGATTTTTTAGAACAATTTAGAATTCCAGTTTCTACTGAGTTGTCTCAGGCACACTCTCAATTATGAAGGTCTGGAGGGAAACCTGGGCACCAGAAATATCTTTATCTTTGTCGGGCATAGTGCTGAGCTTTCTGTCCTCCAAAACACATGACCCAGACTCCACTTCATCCTTATTTGCCAGAAAAGGTGTTTCCCTGAGTAAGGCTGTTTTCCTGAATGAGGGGTTTTTTGAGGTCTATCTGTCAACCTGGACTGTGACACTTGGGGAGGTACCTGAGCCTTGAGACAGAAAAGGTGTGTGTGTCAGTGCACACTGTATCTCCACCTGCAGACCCTGTCAGGTCTTCTGCGGCAGCAGAAAGTCTGTAATATTTCTTCATTGAAAGTTTGATTTTTGATGCATCAAATGGTATATCTGGATGTGGCATTTCCTAGGACATTAATTACCTCAGAGTTTGTAATTTGTGCTCCAAATGTTTAATACAGAGCACACACCCAAACTAATACCTTCCGTGTCTCACAAATGCAGCACTTAACACTTATTTCTTGTTTTTTTTGGTTTTGATTTATAGTTATATATACAAGTATCAGGAAAAGCAAGGCTAAAAATACTGGTATGCAGTATTTCTTGTAGTGTCTCATTACACAGATGAAATATTTAGATATAAATTATATTCATGTTCTATTCATTCAAGTCATCAAGCCTATGGAGACGTGGAAACATTCAAATTAAATAGGATAAATATTAGCACATGATAAACACGTGAATGTTTTGTTTTATGTTATGAGACAATGGAACAGCAGAAACTGTTTCTCTATGTTGTTTATTATTTTAGGTATCTTTTTTCCGTGTTTTCATATCCACTCTAAAAGAAGCAATACAAATCTTTTATTTCTACACATGATCATTCATACCAGGTTGTTCCCAAATACCTCTAATTTTTTATCTGTATTCTTTGCGGAGGCATAAATAGGTTTTAGGACTTAGAAGAACACAGATTGGTAAATGTGGAATTTGCAGAGGGCATTTAGCCGAGTTTAGAACATTTTCCAGAATGGCCAAACTACTTTTTCTTGGTTGCTCATGGTTTTGTCTGTAAGCTTCAGATGAGGCTGAAGGTCAGCTGAGGCCAGCATCAGAGTTTGGACTGAAGGGCTTCCTCACTGCAAGGCAGGATGGAGAATGCTCCTGGCAATCACACGGCTGCTCTTAAGTCATTGTCACCTTTGTGGGACTGGAATTAATTTAGTGGTAGGGCCAACATAAAAGCTGACTTTGGACTACTGCTGGTCCAGATGCACCAGTTGAACTATGCTTAGGCCTGATATTCTAGGGCACAAATTGCCAAATAACCATGTTGAGCAGTAGATCCATCAGGATTGAATTAGCCTCATCATCACAGAAGCAGCTTCAGCTTGAACTACGGATAGCATAGGTGGATGAGACTGGCATACTCACAGGTCTGGAAGAAGATACTAAGAAAGTTAAAAGCCCTTTTTCAACACAGTTACCATAGCGATCTGTATGAGAAACTTTATCTAATCTTATGATTTGTCTTGATTATAGATGTTTGAGAAATTGCTACAACGGAGTGAAAAAAACTCTTTGAAGGTTTTTCAAATAAGGAAAACCCTATTTGAAGGTAATCTCTTCCCTCCACATTCCCATCAACTTACTTCAGGTCCGGCTTCTCCCACAGTTCCTCTAACACCAGGAGGCCCAATTGGCCCAAGTGGTCCAGGACTTCCATCCTTGCCTGAAGGACCAACTGGACCTGGAGGACCCTGGAAAAAATGAGAGAAAGAAGGAATGTGTTTTAGCACTTAATAAAAAGTTATTGAAAACAGCCTTTTGCAAGCATGATCTCTTCAGGAGGCAATACACTTATTTTTGTCCTCTAGCAGAATTTTTTAAAAATCACTCTTTTCCTTCTTATCGAAGATAAAGAAAGTGGCAGTTTCAATGCTATTTTTCTGAAGTTAAATGCCTGAGACAAGATACCTTGGATCAGCTGTGTTTTCTCCAAACCATGTGGATATGTTCATCACTGAGCGCTACCCAAACTTTGGAGTAGCTGTTTTATGCTCAGCTTTATACTGACACAGAGATATCGTGCCACTTGTGAACACCCTAGGGAGCCTTATCTATTTGCTGCTTTTGGGTTGATGACACATACTTGGTAGGAGAGGTGCAGCTGTGGTAAGCAGAGCTGCCACACTTATCTGGTTATAAACTCTGCTTATGTTATATTAAACAAAGTATACCCCTCAGCAAAGGGAGTATGGTTAATCACCACCTGATACTGAAGCTGATAAATAAGGAAAGTCAAATAGAAATGTGACAGTGGGGAAAATACTGAAACCTGAAACTTGACACTCACCCGAGGACCAAAAGGACCTGGAATGCCAGGACTTCCCTGTTCACCAATAGGACCCTAGATGGAAGAAATCACATAATCATTGAGAATCATTGAGATATCTAAAGCATATTCCTCTAGCTTTTTTTTTAAAAAAAAAAAAAAAAAAAAAGAGAGAGATGCATTTAAACAGGCATAGCAGCATAGGGTTATAATATGCATGAACAACGGACAGTACATTTGCTGTAATTCATTTTCATCCTACTGGTCTCTTCTGCCACAAAGACACAGTAACAACAGCCATCAAAAATTAGGTGAATAGAATTTACTGATACTTGGCTCTGTATGAAGGTCTGCAGAACAGCCTTTCTTTCATGACATTCAGAGTCAGACTAGGTTAGAAAAGAGTAACTGTTAGCACTGTTCTGAAGTGGAAGGATGCTCTGGGGTTCTTTATATTACTCCCTTCCTAGATGTTGAAACTTTCAGCTCTTGCATGGGATCAGTGTGCAAGTTTTTCATGGCACTGCTAACCAATCACCATTGCAATCAGGAAGTCCTTCCAAATAGTTTAAAGACATATTGTCACACTAGTAAAAAGTCTTCACAGTGCTTTGAAACTTCACACTTCTTTGAAACTATCAACTTCTGTAATCATCCTGTGCTGTCAACTCATAGATTCTCAGTGACTGGTCCCTTTGGATTGGCACAAATGGTAAAAGAGCAGAACTCTAATCTTGCAAAGCACAAGTATAGACAGTCAGGCCACTGACAAGCACCTATTGGGAAAAAATAGCTCTTGGATTTTAAGTATTTTTAGTTTTATGGATTTTAAATAACTATGGTCCTTTTATACGGTTCAACAAACAAGAAAATAAAGTTACAGTAAAACCAAAACAACTTACCGGAGGACCAGGAAGACCTTGAAGCCCAGTGAACCCCCTGTGTCCTTTCTGGCCCCTGTCACCTCGATCTCCATTGTCACCTTTGTCACCACGAGGCCCTTGGGGACCCTGTAAGCATCAGTGATGAAACATAAAATTCGGGACTGGAAAAAAAGTCGTTTAGCTTTAGACACTGCTCTCTGACCTCCTTCACTACTAAAGCCAGAAAGGTGGCGTTACTGGACAGTTCCAGGAATCGTAATTTTTACAGAAAATAAATAAACAATTACATAAGACAGTGTCATGTTTAATTATAGTTCCAGTAAATATAGTTTGTTTAGCTCTATCATGCAGCCAAACAAAACCAAACTTTTGATGAAAATATTTAATAAGTTATATAACGGAATGATTACTTTTGAGAAATACCTTTGCATACTAGATACAGTAAATAATTGCAGTAAGCAATTACTGCATATTGCAGTCATACTTGCAGTATTTGTCCCCATATTGCGTCTTTACTTTTCACAGTTCCTTCACCATAACTAAAAAACAACTGAAGTTCCTTTTCCTAACTACAGACAACACTCTTCAGGCTCTCCAGTACAAATGGCTTGGTTCTATTGCTGTTATAATTTAATTATTCATATTTTGACAGTTTCAAACTTCTCACACTGATTTTTTTTTAAATCATTGGAAAAAAACAATTTCTGCTTTCAATTCTGTATTTCTCAGCCCAAACTTCAAGCTACATCTCCCAGTGCAAAATATCAAATAGTTTATCAATGACAAATTATTGCTGTTAAATAATTATTTCCTTTTTCTCATATGACTTTCTCAATTGACTTATGCTTAAGGATAGGACAGCATTTTTTTTTTGAGTTTCCTAAACTTGAGATTAAGTTTTTGTTCCAAGCTGGGACTGAAAATGAGTTATGTAACACAAAAAGAGATGAGTTTTGTTTGTTTTTCCACTCGGGCTGAATCTCATGAGTTGAATAAGGCAGTTTCATGGGAGCAGGTGTTTTTGTTACACTTCTGCCACTTTGATCTAAAAATCTGCCTTTCTGTTCAGTATTCATTTCTTACTTCTCCCAAAATTTGTTTTGTCAAACACAGACTTTAGCCATTTGTGAGCTCAGGTCATACCCATCATCTGGACTGCATTGCCCTCCAAATAAAGAGACTTCAAAAGTATTTGTTATTTCTCTAAAACTATTTTGAAAGAAAGCATAGGAACACTAGTCTATAAAAAGAGATGTGCACATCTTTACAACATTCTACTTTCATTTGCAGTCAGGCCACTAGAAGTTCAATTACTACTCAGCATTCTAAACTGGGTTCAATTTCCCTTCCACTCCCCCGTGAAAAGTGCCTCAGATTAAACCACAGTGACCACAGAGAACTTACAGGCAAGCCTCTCTTTCCTGCACGACCTGGGGGACCCACGGGACCTCGAGAACCCTACAAAGGTTGCACAGAGATGACATGTGAGGGAATACACAAAAGCATACAAAATATGTTTTTGTTACAGAAAACCAAAAAGTTTCACTTACAGTTTCACCTCTTTGGCCTGCATCTCCTGGAGGGCCAACAGGACCTGGAGTTCCTGGACCCCCTGGGGAACCTGGCAAGCCTGCAGGTCCAGGTTCACCACGATCACCCTGACAAACAAAATGTCAACATTATTTATATAAATAATACTTTAGCATTCCTAATCTATTTTCTAGTATTTATGATTTATGAAGGTATCCTTGCTGTAGGAACTCAAGTCTGAGTTTCTGGAGCACGTGTTCTTAGCCAGGTTCCCTCAGCTTTGAGAGGTACTCTTATTCAAATCTGCAGTATGTTCCTTTAGAAGAAGTCCTCCATTCGGGGAAACCGAATGAAGAGAAATAACTTACAAAAAGTAAATAGTAAAATGGAGATCTACAAAAACAAAGTAATAAAACAAAATATTCTTACACGTTCCCCTACAGCTCCATCTCGTCCAGGAGTCCCATCATTACCAGCAGGTCCCTAGAGTTAGAGAAGCAAAAAGAGGACTAATGATTTGCTCTGTAATCTTGCATTTGTATAAGAACAAGGAACTGAAAAGGCTAGATTCCGGTCTTTCTGTTCATGGAATTAGGCTCCAATACTTACTTCTGGACCAGCTTCACCTACAGGTCCAGTGGCACCTGACTGACCTATAGGTCCTGGAGGACCTTTATCACCTGGTGGCCCTGTGGGACCTTGTTTTCCTGGTGTACCCTAAAAGAGATGAGAAATATCACATCATAATTTAAATCATAAAATAAACACAATAAAAATGCTGCCTGCAAAACAGTACCTATGAATCCATAATCTGAAATACCATCAACATTTGTAACTTCCAAAAATAGAGAATTAATGAAAGCATTTGTATAGATTTTTTGATATATATCTGGTGAACTATATATTTTTAAACAGTTTGTGTTAGGTGTTTTTTTTTTTTTTTAATAACAGCTGTTTGAATAGGCCTTTGACAGCTCTTCAAGTTCATCTCTATTAGCAGTTCTAAGCACACACTCCCTTGATACGTCAACATGTTTGGTAGTTTATCCATGATAGATAAGTGCTTGCTGACTCTGGGAGACTAATCAGACTCTGGAAGAACGTAATGCAGATTGAAATAACTGCAATAATCTTAAGTTCACTTTAACTATAAACTTTACGATTTTTTGAATTCCGTGGTGTACAGTTGTCCTCTATGCTACCTCTTTTACAAATATTCTATTTAATGGCTTCCTCTCCTGGTTCATTTGCCTTCCTAAGAAGATCTGGAAATCCCATGTGAAAGCAGAGAAAACCCAAATGGCAATTTTGAGGACTTGTAATTTGAAGATTTGTAGTTCACAGTGACATTTAGGAAACAATTCACTCCCATTCCGGTGGCCTTTGAGTACTTAAGTGAAGCATGGGGTTTGTTTTTATTTTTAAATACCTGATTTCCAGTCAAATGTTATCATGTTAACTAGAAGTCTTAACACTAATAGCCATTTATTTTTAATTCCGGTTCAGATCTTCCATTATAGCAAAAATAAAAGCTTCCACCTCAGAATTTGCATAAGGCTTAGATAGGGGGAGGTTCCAACTTTCTCCTCACACCCTGGGCACTACACCCTCAAACCCGCAAAGCTGATGCCAAATGTTCAAGATGGGAATATTGACGTGGTTGTTACTTACTGCAGGCCCTGGCAGGCCAGGCATGCCTCTCTCCCCTCGCTGTCCTGGCATACCGACAATACCTCTTTGACCAGTAGTTCCTGCTGGACCAGGGGGGCCATCTGGGCCCTGCAATCCACAAATGACAAAACATTACTATCACTTCCCTCTCAATAGCATAGGTAACAAGATCAAGCCTAGAGTTAACTGAGAGAGAATTACTACCATTGTGGAGGACATACCGGCTGCCCGTCTTCTCCTGCGTCACCCTTGTCCCCAGGACCTCCAGGGGGTCCAGCCGGGCCTCGATCTCCCACACGGCCATGAGAACCAGGATCACCACGAAGACCTGGGGGACCTTCTTTTCCTGGCTCGCCAATAGGCCCAGCAGGCCCTGGAGCTCCCTAATAAGATTAGAAGACCTCATCACATTGGACTTTGTTCTTTCTTATCCGCACAGTTCAAGTCTAAGGACTCTGACACGACATGCTAAGAAAAGACCAATGCATGATGACTCTAAGCTAGCATCACCTCATGTACTGTGGTGCTGGACTCCTGGGAATTTCAAATGATGTACAAGCTCATCCCCTCTTCCTCCAGCACTACTACAATTCCAAAGTTTCTCCTTTAAAAGACTTTTGCTTCTTCTTCTTCTTTTTTTTTTTTTTTTTTTTTTTTTTTTAAATCTCAGTCATGCAACTATGGCCAGAAAATCCACACTCATTCATTCTCTCCAATACCATCAAGCCAAAAGCCCATATTCAGACTTTCCCATTCTTTTTGTCCCAATTAGTGTTTTCTTCTCACAAATTACCAAAATGCTTTTCAAAGATTCCACATTTATATTATGTTTTTAGTACAGCAGCTTTAACTTCTCTTTACTTCTTGATAAACTTCCCTTCACAAAAACTCTCCTAATTTCAGTTAGCAGAAATGAAAAGAAGAAAAACAATAAAGGACAAGATGATACAGGATGTGGTTTCATTTCTGCAAACAATTAAGTCATCCAAGCATTTTAAACAGCTCAAAGCCTAACCGAAGCCTATTGAATCCAATGAAAAGTCTTGCACTAACTTGGACACACTAGATAGAGTCCAAAATTAACAAGTTTTATTAAATGAATGCAAATATGCAAATGGATGAAATAGGCAGTCACCAAGTCTGAGCTAATAAGCTGCCATAACATCAGGCCACAAACACTGCTTCATCTTTCCCTTTTCAATTAGTCTTCATGTTTTCAACTATTATTTTATTAATGCACCTATTAGGAATATGCAAATTAACTTACGGTTGGTCCTGGAGGCCCAACTCTTCCAGCAGATCCTGGGAATCCAGTAGCACCCTAAATAGCATTTTAATGACAAATTTACAGAAAGAAATACATTATTTTCAACCTGAAATGTTGTTAGCCCAATTAATGAGCAACTGTTGTAATTATGGTCTGTGATATTCAAGCTCAGATGAAGAAGGATATGTCATTTCTTTCCTTCACATATAATTTATATAAAATAGTATTATTGGGTTATTTATAGAAAAGTTGTAAAAAATAAAATCTACTTACAGGTGGACCCTGTGTTCCTCGACCACCTTTCAAACCAGGAACACCTGAAGGACCCTAAAAAGAAAGAGAGGTGTGTGATAGTGAACACTCATGACGTTTTAAACAAGCAAGATCAGCCTATGCCACTGGTTCTCTGATAACGTTTTTTATACTTACTGGTGGACCAGGAGATCCAGCAAGACCCTGTGGTCCTGGAGATCCAGCATCTCCTTTCTGTCCAGGTTCTCCAGGTTCACCTTTCACACCTGGCTGACCATCAGGGCCCTAAAAAATAAAAAAGAGAAGAGAGATCAGGTCAGAAAATACCAAATCTTTCCAGTCTGAGAAATTCAATCTGTCGGGTATTTCTGGAAGGCAAAACAAAACAAAACAAAAAACAACCCCTCTCTTCCCCCACAAAAAAGACAAGAGAACGAAACAGTCCAGAAGACAGCAGTAGCATATTTGCTCAATGAGACAGTTCAAGAGAATTGCAACATTTCACCACAGTCTTTAGATGATCATAGATGGGATTTTCTGAAACTTCTGTGAAGTCAATAATTGCATTCAAATTTTGTCAAATCTAGTTCATATTTCTTGTCTTTAGAGCCATTTGGATATATATACTTTTTATTTTCCTTGGTAACTATTACATATCTAAAACTAAAAGGAATATATCAAACATTCTCTTTTCTAGATTCTTCTACTCAAAGAGAAGTAGATGCCTAACTGTTTGTGGAAGGTCTGAAATGTTGGCTGTGGGACATTTTGAGGTATTAACTGAAAATTGCAAACTTGCCACTTGTTCCTTTTATTCATTCTAGCCTCAACTTCTCATGGAGCAAATCTTTGCTATGTTTCAGCAGATGACAATTTATAACTTTCTTCATTTTAATCTCAAAGGAAACAACACTGCATATTCAGGAAGATATGAAATCTGGTGAACAATTACATAATCTTATCAACAAAAACACTTTTCAATTGTCCAGAGTATTTACTGGCCCCTTCCTTTAAATGATATAATAATGGAAAAAAGAAACAGCTCTTTTTGTAACAGAAATGTGACTCATGTTCCAGAATTATTCATAATGTAAGAAATGAAATGTGTCAAAGCATGAGTAAAGGATTAGTGGTGTTATCTAACACATACCGGAGGACCAGCAAAACCAACAGCACCAGTTGGACCATTTTCACCTCGGGAACCCTAGACAAAAATGAAGAATAATTGTTTTTTATACAGAAGTCTTTTTATATGCAATATAATTTGCAAGTAAGAAGCAAAGAAATAAACTATTTACTATCAGAGGAGTAATTATTTTCTTGCTTTAGTTATCAGAATCAAATGATCGGTAATCACACATTCTATGTGTTAATCTCACATTTAATCACACAATAAACACAGCGTTGGCTATGATGTTAAGATCTAGTATAAGTTCAAGAATATATAGAAATTTTCAAGAATGTCCAGAATTTAGAGAAGGAAGGCACGTGCATTAGTCCTTACTAAAACTGCGACAAACTCAGTTCCCAATCACTATTGGTGAAAAAAAAGATTAGCTGAGAGCACACATGCACTATGCAATCTTCCCATTCCAATCAAACAGGGTAAAAAAAAAAAAATAGTTCCAACATGTACATCACTGTAAGGTCAGAATAGGCTGTGAACCACTTCAGCTGAGCTTGCCACAGAATGTTTCTTTGGAAAAGCAGCAGATGATTGCTACCAAGGTCCAGTACTCCCCGGAGGGGTGGGAGTTGTCCCAGTTTATACAGGAAATAAGGTTGTTCTGATTTATGACCAACTTAATCAGTTCTAGACGTTACTAAGGATCTAGAAGGGTTGAGACCATAATATCCTAATCATCAAAGTCAGCCATTAAAAATCCTTAAAATCATGAAGAGGCAGAAGACGGTAAGTTAACATAATTAGATTAAGTAAGATACCTCTCTGCCTTGTCCTAGTTGTCCTTGTCCAACTAAGTTACATGGGTAGTATCTGAGTAGTATCTGATATAGGCATGCTTTTGAAAGGATTGTTTTTAGGAGTGAGGGTAAATGAGCATAACTCTATGCAGAAATTTCCCTAACACCAGGACCAAATCTGACAGTAGTTTTACAAGTGCACAGCACTCACAGACATTACAGATTTTGGTGAAAAAGGAAAGAAAAGAAAAAGTGGAAAAGCTATCAACAAGTGAGAGAAATGCCTAAAGTTTGGATCAGTGTTAGCATTAGTCCCCTGGCAGTATTTGTCAACTCATACCAGGCAACAACAAACATGTACTCACAGGGTTTCCACGAGAGCCAGGAGGACCAACTAGACCGCGAGGACCTGGTTCACCCTTAAGACAAAATTAAAGGTTATATCCAAAGCAGCTTGTCCAAGGAGTAGTGAAAGTGCCAACAAAGTGTGCTTCTCTTAGGAAGGCAAAGGTATAAAAAGTTGGTTACCTTTTCACCAGTTTGACCTGCTGGACCCATTGGGCCTATTGGACCAGGGAGACCCTGTTGAACAAATTAAGATAAAAGGAAGTTAGAAAAGATTCAAAATTCAATTAAAATTTCTCTCAGGCACTATTTTCATGGACATTTTATTTGCTTTAAATTCTTCTCTTTTACCCTTGCAAGTTTGTTGGGTTTTCTTTATCTAAAATTTACTGATATATTTTCTCTCTGTAACTGAAAACTCATGTCTCAAAACTCCTGTTTTCCCTCATTCTTCCCTAACTTCATCTTCGCCTTTTTACAGTGTTTATGAAGACCACCCATGATCAAAAAGCTTGAGCTTTATTTTATTCTCTCAGAAGGAAATTAAGCCCCTTTCTCACAGAATTACCTAACGGCTGGTAATTCTGAGTTAAAGCTTCTGTATGCTACAGTTTCTCTAAAACTCTTCTCTCCTCTAGTTAGAGATTCAGTCAAGGTGGTATCTGAGGATTTTTCATATTTATTTCAGATTTCCACAGCAGCAGCTAGCTTTCCAAAGGGTTTGAAGAACTGGTTGAAGAATCTCAAATATATGCAATATATATAAACAGTAATGCCAGCATTTCTGGGAAGTAAGAACAATCAGAACGAACACAGCAAAACTAATGCACTTGGGATTTTTGGACAGTTGGTCTTTGGAGGAGAGTGAGTGCAACACGTCTTGAAATACTGGGTTTACTGCATAAGAGCCCATCTACATTATTTATGCACAGGAGATTCAAAGTATTTGCTGATGTGTCAGTAACTCACTGCCCTTGTGTTGTACAGAACATTTAAAGGTATTTTTGCCTGTAAAATTCAGGTCGGAAAGAGGGTATATTAATTCAAATGATAAGGAGGGAGCTTAGCCCAAGAATTGGAGTGAGCGAGTCTGCTCTTTGGCTACTGATCCTTGCCTATCCCTTCATCATCTTCTTCCTTTGTTCAGCTTAGGTAAATCCCAAATCAACATTTTGCTTCTGAGATTCTTTCCACTAAAATCTAAACTCCCATTTTCTATCATATAAAATATGGGCTTGAAACACAAACATACCAAAACACTGTGTATAGCAATCTTGAAAAAAATTTAGACACCAAATTTGGAGGGTAAGTGGGATAAGATGCCTGTCAGCCCATGATATCTGCAAGCTGAATCCTGTTTATGCGCTAAGTAATGATAAAACATGTGAAGAGTGAGTCTAAGAAGACTGATACATTTACTTACTCTTGCCCCATCATTGCCAGCTGTACCTTCAGCACCTTTCTCACCTACGCCGCCCTGTGGAAAATACCCAGAAAGTCAAAGTTGTGACACGACATCCTGAATAGTTCATCTCCTGGAACAATTACAGTACTAAGAGGTAGTTAATTCTGCTCCGCGGAACAGAAATAAACAGTCTTACCCTGTCACCCTTTGGGCCAGGAGTTCCAGCAATCCCTCTTTCTCCAGGCATACCTTGAAGTCCTGGTGGGCCTGGATCTCCAGGCGTCCCACTAGGACCCGGGCTTCCCTAGAATGAATAAAAAGTGAGTTTTTGACTACTCATTTGAGAAGTATCTTTGTCTCTAGGCTTTGCCTGACTTGCAGTCTCAGGGGTACAGTTTTACGTAATATTTTTTCTTAAATTTGGACCTAATGTGTATCCAAATACTTTTCTTTTCCCATTGTAATACTCAGGAAGTTCAGCTGTAATACCATAGTCCTTCCAAAATACATTTATATGCACTCAGTGCATCCTGGGGTGAGGACTGGCTAAAAAAAGCCTGGTCTCTTTCTACCTTGACAAAGCTTGGGATGCAAGATAGGCTGATTACACTAGACAGCAACAGGTAGAAATTGCCAGGAGCAGGGTTGCTTTATTTATGCTTTGCTTCTCATAGTTATGTGCTTCATGTGCATTACAGGTCCCATAGGACCACAGGCACTCATATTTTGGGGGTGATCTTTGCAGATCCAGCTAAGCCAAATGTAGGGGAAAGTAGAGGCTTGCAATATGGCTTGCAGTTTTCTGCATTTTCTTTTACGCACTCAACCATGATTATTCTCTACATATACAGTAACAGGGTTCTTAAAACAGGGCCAGTGCTAGTTAGTTTTCTGCAGTTTAGAATGGCTTTGCTATGTTCTACTGCGAAACACAAAAGTGTTTTAGAACTTAGATCTATATAAATTAAAACAAAATCCAATTTCTCAACATTTTATTGCTTTGCATTGCATTCATACTGTCACACCAGAATAACACGTTCAATACTACATGAAAATTCTCTTCCTAGAACACTAATCTAAATAAGATAGCTTTCATTAAAAGATAACCATGTTTTCATATCAGAGATCTCTCTCTTATGTTCTTCCAAATGAGCACAATTATACCCAACACCACCACGGCAACATAAATCATCCAGCTTACCTTTGGACCATCTGGACCATGACCTCCAGCCATACCCTTTTCACCCTGAATTCCTGATGCACCTGGCTCTCCCCTTTCTCCTGGATTGCCACGTTCTCCCTGCAGAACATATAATTATAACATATTTAGTTTTATGCTTTTTAAATGTTTTTATCCTTAAAGTTGCATAATACAGTTTATCACTCAACCAAGATGATAACAGTGTCATTTTCACAGGCTGTAAACCAAGTAGTGTTCCAGTCTGTGTATCATCTGAAGAGCTCAAACCACAGTCAAAAAGGACAAAATATTCATTGGAGGTGTTTGAGTCTGTGTAGTATCAGCTATACGATATATAGTACATATACAAACTTCAACCTCAAAGCACTGCTATGAATGTTTAATTATGAAGAAAGATACATACCCTAGGTCCCAAAGGGCCAACAGCGCCAGGATCACCAGGAACACCCTGTGCAGAAGAGAAGTTACTATTAGAATGGAATCATTATAGTTATGAAAATCAGAGATAAATTTTTTCATAGTTTTCAGTGTATTGTGAATGTAGATGGCTAGTTGGGAGTAGTATCTGTTCATGACAAGAGAGCATGTCCAATCAAACCAAAGCAATGTCTCGATTCTAGTAATTATTTTACCCAAAAGCAGTATTCACAATTTGCAGGCTACATCAGTGCACACTTTGAAACAGTGGGAAATTAAGCTACAAAGAGTGGCAAAAGTCCTCTATAGACTGAATTCTCATTAAGAAATTACCTGATCACCCGGTTTTCCTCCCTCACCAGGAGGGCCTGGTGGCCCAGGCAAGCCCTGTAAAAAAATAAACAAACTGCTCAGTAACGTGACAAAATGTTATGTAAATTCGGATTTAATTAAGACACTTGCAGTATTATACACAGTAAACAAGATTATGTCCTCAGTGATCCCCAAGCAAAATAGTTACATGAATATAGCATCTGTTTCTTTCTTCTCTAAAAAGAAATGACAGTCCTTATGTACTTTTACTGTTGATACACATATGTCCTACAAGTATTTAAGTCCTCCATAAACAGACTAATTTTATTACTGCTACTACTACTAGTCTTCATTACTTTTTCCTTATCAAAATAATCTATATGCTCTATTTTTGGAGTAAATAGATTTGGAAAATCTCCACTTCAGAACTAAAAAACAACACAAGTTTTTCAAGGGTTGCAGATTGGTACTTAAGACCAATTCAGTTCAGCTGAACACACATTTATGATTAGAACTAAGCATCATCATTTGTTTCATATTACTAACTATTCTGAGCATTATTGCCTAAGTACTTAATTTTTCATTTTGTTAAGCATCACTTTATTGAATTTCTCTAAGTTGACAAAGACATATCTGTTTTTCTTCCTCTTAAAAACAAAAAGAGTATGCATACCTGAAACCCTGTAGGACCTGGAGGGCCTTGTTCTCCTCTTTCTCCTGCCAGTCCCTATACAAAAGAAAGTTGTATTTTTTCTTCTCTCTGAATGATATTTTCAATTATATATTTGTTTATTGTATATATGTGTCAACATATACACTATGTAAAAGATGTAGTAAGACATAGGTTATCTCCTTATTTCTTTAAAAGGATAGAACAAATTTTGTGATGAGGGGTAAAACATTCCATTCTATTGAAATTAAGGAAACTAGGAAAATACACTGAAAGAAAATTTTGCATCTTGCATTTTTTTTTTATTATTTTTAAAGGTCAGTAAAGTAAAAGAAATTGGAATCTCATATATGGATGGAAACACATATGGAATATATGTTTCAACCCAAAGCCTCACCATTTTTCTAGGAAAACTATTTATTTATTTAGGAATCAACAACTGGCATGAAGACAGATAAAATGAAAGGCAGAAAGATTAATCAGCAGATGGAAAGGCAAGCAGGCAAACAGGCCTAGGTTACTTACTGATGGGCCAACAGGACCAGAAGGACCAACTTCACCATCTTTACCAGGGGCTCCCTAAATTAAAATGACAAAGGAGAAGTCTTGTATAGTGAGCATGTACAGTAGAAATATATCATTTTCCTTAGTCACTGAAAACTGTAAGTCACACTCACTCGCTGTCCTGGAACACCCGCATTTCCTGCTTCTCCAGGTTTTCCTGGATCGCCCTAATTTGAAGAAAGGAAAATAATCACTTTTAACTACTATTTTCATCCATTAAAATATATGCTAATACTAGCAAATGCTGGGTACAAGGTGGCACACTTACACTGCTGCCCTTCGGTCCAGGAAGGCCCATGCTGCCTGGTTGACCTCTGATTCCTATTGAACCTGCTGGACCTGGGCGTCCATCTTCTCCTGGGGCACCCTGCAGAAATACAGCATTTTCCACACCAAATTAAAAACACTGTTTATTTGTATAAGCTCATTTACACCTGGAATATAATTCCCAGTGATATTAGAGCCTAGCCAGCACTATCAGATGGATAGTGGATCCGAACAAATGGATTATTTTGCAAAATAGTTGCCTTCAAATAACATTAACCTATGGAATAAATGTCTCAGAGCATAGTAATTGAACCTGCACTGTTTCTCAGCAGTATCAGATGAAAAAGGCCAGCACTGAAGATAAATGGCTTTCCAACATCTAATAAAATTCCTTAATTCTACTTAAAATGGGCATTTTAAAGCATTTTAAAATGGGCCAATTAAAATGGGCATTTAAAGCTATGATTTTTCACTTTAAAGTCAGTGAATCTAGTAAATTATAGTTAAAGCACTCATTATTATACATGTAGTTGTTTTGGTTTTATCTGTAAAATATGTCTTTAAAGCAGAGTGCTTTATGGAGCTGCAGGCAGAGTGCTGGAACTGACCAAGTATTATGCAATTATTATCATAGAACCATTATGTACAAATAGTTTATTGATTCCAAAAAGAGATAGTTAGAAAAGATATTTAGTTCTCAAAGATTTAATACTCCTGCAGAAGCTGCTAAATAATTGGCAGATAAGAGATAAAACCAAAAGAATGTTATTTAGAATAATTTAGAAGTTGGAACTTCTAAAGTTAACACTTTAGAAGAGTTAACACCTACAGGAAAAGGTGAACTTCTAAAAATGAAGAAAACTCAGGTGTAATATCAATCATTTGAGACTTTGAAATTATTGTGGCATTAACTGAAAGAACCGGTTGTTATGTCACTCACCAAGGGGCCGAGTTTTCCTTCGGGGCCTTGAACACCCGGATTTCCTGTCAAACCCTAAAAATGGGAATAACGTTAGTGCAAAGTTGTACATAGAATTCTAGAGGGAGAGAAAAAGCAAATAAACCCTGAAGTATGCTCAGTAATTTTATTAATTTATACAACATTCCACAACATTTTCTTTGCTGTATCTAAGGTCCTCATCCTACTGTTAAATTACTTACAGCTTCTCATGCCTTACTGTCTTTGATCTTTTTTCCTATACACCCTTTTATTGCTTTTACACATCTCATCGGTGTCTCACAGGATCACCTTCTTTACTTCTACTCCTGTTACCCAGTGATCTGTATCACATTTCGATCTTGCTAAACCCTTTCTCTCCTTTTGTGATGTTCCAAATTCTCAAATACTTTTCCTAAAAATATTTTCTACAACTTGCAGCACTCAACTATATGGTTATCAATCATCAATTTAATAAGGGTCTGACCCTCAAGTAATGTTTTCTGTGACAACTATGTGCTTTAGAAACAGAAATCCTTCAATTGCCAGTCTAACCAGGAGTATTTTTCCTTCTTTTGACATCATGGGAAAAGAGTCAGATATTTTGGCTCTTAGTCTTTAAGCGGTCCCACTGAACAAAGTTACTAATCACACCTCACTTCAAAGGACAAAGGCGAATCAAAAGAATGAGGGAAGAAGTCTGTACTTTTACAACAGCTTCTTAATTCTGTGAAGCTCATTGCTGCCTCCTGAAAGTAGAAAACGCCACAGTTTAGAATGTGTTGCTGTTAGTTCCTTACCCTTGCACCTGGGAGGCCAGGCTCACCGGGACGCCCGGGGTCCCCCTGCCCGCCTTTAGGACCAGAAGAACCTGCAGGACCACGCTCGCCTTGAGCACCCTAGAAAGATACCAGTGTGATATTAGGTAATAGGTAGAACATCTACAGTTAGAAAAATTTAAATAAAATATCTTGTATTCAAGCCATATTTTTGCAAACAGACATCCAAAGTGTCAGAAACTTTATTTATTAGTTTAATGTGGCCTCTTCCATAAAACAATGGCGGAATCCTTGTATTCTTATGAAGATTTAAGAATAGTCAGAAGTGCTAGCCAAATACATCTCTGAGTTGCTGCTCTGGAAAAGCCAGAGACAGATGTGGCCATCAGTTCAGTGGATAAGCCTAGAGAAACTATACCAAACACTATAGAGCAACGTATTCAGCAATATACTAATAGTGACAGGTCAATGTCTCCAATCTGCTCACATCTGAATATGAGATACCATCAACTTGGAGACATACAAAAAGAGATGAACATTACAGGATTTATTTTTTTCACCAAAACATTTGGTTTCAAAACACTGAGATGCCTTTCTGGCATTTGCCAGCTCCTTTACTCTACTTCTAGGAATTCAGCGGATCCGCCTACTTGCTTAAAAGCATATGCTTTGAATAGAATAGTTTCTTTCCATATATCTGCATGCGTGAGAATTTCAAAAATAATGATGAGAGACTGAACTCTTTATTTACCTTTGGTCCAGGCAAGCCATCAGAACCTGGAAAACCACGATTACCGGGAGCACCCTGTCAGAAGTAATGTGAACAAGATTATTATATTGATTTTTACATGACCTTGCAAATAAAAGGCTTTTTTCTTTACTTTATTTGGGCCTGGTTTATTTTCTTACAAAATCCTTACATCAGTACCTCAAACTTGTTTTTTTGGAATGGTAAAAATATCTACATGTTTTATTCAGGCATGGTGAACAGCTCTTTCATATGAATAGCCTCACCAAAAAGACGAGTACCATTTGTATGTGGGTTAAGCAAAAATATGTATTCATTTATACCTCAGGTCTTCAATTTTTCTCTATGTTATCTGTGCACTGAATACAGTAATGAAAATTTTCAGTGTCAAAATAATGTACAGGATCACAGAACTCCTTTTCCCCCAAAACAGTAATCAGAACTATTCAGGATGCAAAAAGCATCATGCTACATTTTTATATACTGATCACCACAGCATCATTTTCAAAAAGAATGTAAGAGTACAGCATTTAAAAATTACTAATCTAATACATTAAAAGGTAGATATATAAATTTACTACTATTAGGAAAAAAAAGTTTGCCTCCACTTAATACCAAGCTGTAAGAACACTCAAGCTTAGCCCAGATGAGAGGCTTTTCAGCCTGGCAATCCCTATGTAACAAGATATACCGATCTTCTGAATTACTTACCCTCTCTCCAACTGGACCTGGGGGACCTACTGACCCTGGATCACCTCGAGGACCTCTTTTCCCCTCTTCACCCATAGGGCCAATGGAACCCTGGGGACCTTGTGGGCCCTAGTGAAAACAAAATTTGTATAAAAATTCGTTGTTAAGTTCACTGTTTGTCAAGCATACTGAAACAGATTGCCTTCTAAATATCATCAACCTTTTTCTCCCAGAAAAGAGAAAAATAGTTTATAGCTATGTTTTGAATCTGTTATGAGATGCAGTTAGTCAGGGGTCGCTTTTCCCCTTTCCAGTATTTATAAGCTCTTCTTTCAGTAAGATGTATTATAGGAGTAAACTGTAGTTCTGAAGCTCAGCTCTGCTGTGCTTCTTGTAAGCATCTATTTGCTCAGACAGAATATTTTTTAATTACGTCTATCTCATTTGCACAGGAAACAAAGGACTCAAAATTCAGTAAATTCTTATAGAAATTCTCAAAGAAGTGAGACCCAGTCAGAGGTAAAGAAACCATGACTTCATTGCATAGTTCTATCAACTATTATGTAATGACTAAGCTAGCAAGAAGGAAATGATTAAAAAAAAAAAAAAAACAAAAGAAAAAGCTGAACTGACTATAACTCTGCATAATCCTTTTTATTCTAAAGTTCATGTTATGCATAGAATTAACTATCTTGCCAAATAACTTCTTACAGACATGAGCTAAACAGGTTTTAATACCACCTAATATTTTTTGAAAAATTTAAACATATTTGATTTATATAATTAAATATATTTTCTATATTAATATAGATCATCACTGTATTTTTAAATGTTCATATTGTCTTAACACGAGTAAAAACACAATGAATACATATACATGGGTAAGTATAAAATGTATTCAATATATTTTATTCAAAAATTTTTTTCATTATGATCAACTTACACCTGTTTGCTCTTAAATGTTCAGAAATATATGATATACATTTCTCCACAGATGAAATCAGAATAAAATCATTCTCGCAGTGCTTTAGAAATGTCAGTAGATACTGACCAGTAGAACTGGTTTCTCTGTCTCCCAATCCTGCAAGTCCTACACTAGTGGTTTGCAACATCTTCCATTTTCAGGACTACCTAGGCAAATTGGCTGTGGTTTGTCTTCTACAACAAATACTTGATAAACATAAGCAATCATGAGAAAGAGCATTAGATAGGTCTTGAAAATTCTAACAACCTATCTAAATCATTCATACATAATTTTGTGATTCCTTTTGATTTTACAAAGCATGTAGAGACTTACAGGTTCACCTTTGGGCCCTGCTTCTCCCTTGAAACCTGGAACACCAGGATCTCCCTAAAAACAAATAAATGAGTAAACACCCATAAAAGTAAAATTCTGCATAGAACATTCAACTAGTTTACATTATTCTTGATTAAAAAAAGTTTCCTGTTTTAGAAGGTACTGTCTGTCTTTCCCCTAAACATCATAACATCAAAGAAACAGAAACTTAAGTGAGACCTAATTTCAGAAGATAACTAGTTTTTGTCCAATGTACAACAGTGTACACACATGTAATCACTGTTTTATTTTATTGAGTGACAGAACTGAAAAATATCGCTGAGAAAAAGACATTATTACCGGCTGGCCTCGAATACCAGGTGGACCAGTACTGCCTTGTGGTCCTGGGGAACCAGGTGGACCTAATAAACCAGGAGGGCCTCCAGTTCCTGGAGATCCCTACAAACAGAAATATCAGCACAGTTAAGAGAGAGAAAAAAAAAAAACAATTTACAAAGCAAATAGAATAAATCCACTTACAAACCTTCTTCAAGAGATGATTTGATTACTTACTGTTGGGCCCTTAGCGCCTGGGGATCCATCTGTCCCTTCAGTCCCCTAAAAATAATGTATCAATCACTAAAGTGAATTTTTATGAGCTGGGTATCAATAACAAAAACAGAATAAGACAATCATTTGATCTTATTTAAGCGCAGATTACTCAGATTACTCAAGGGTATTCAACAATATGGCGCTATAAGATCTACCTGTACAAATACAGATCTAAATAACAAAGTATAAGTTCATGTGACTTTTAATACATTCAAGCTTTTAAAGTACTTGTAGGCGTCAGAGAACATCAGGCTGTGTAACTTTTGTTTTTCCAAATTAACTGAACAATGGAAGTTATTAGCAACAAAATAAGTAGAAAAATATGAACGATATCTTTTTTTAGGGGGGAAAAAGCCATCTGGGCAAAACTCTCTGTATATCAAGCGGGGTATTGAACAAACAAAACACAAGTTTAGCACTGAGGAACCAAAGTTTAATGTACTTACAGGAAGCCCTTGTGATCCAGCTGGGCCTTGTGGCCCCGTTTCACCTCTTTGTCCTTGAGGACCTTCAGGACCACGAGGACCCGTTGGACCTGCTTCACCCTAAGATTTCACAAAAGAAAAAAACTTTGCTTTAAAAAGCTGCATTTCAATTAACTAAGGAGGAATAATGAGTTTGTAAGAGAAAGATAATTCTGGCTTTGAAATAGTTTAAGATTCTTAAAATATATTTTTACTTATCCAATTCTGCCTCTACTGCTTCTATACAACCGTAAAACTACAAGTAGAATTTTTCCTCAGTTTATATATGATCATAGAAAGTTTCTGCAGAACAGCAGCATGATAACTATTTGAATATTATATACTCAAATATATATCAAATATATATCAAAATAACCTAATGATGTGATTCTTGCTACTTGAATATTATATATAATATAATATTATATATTATATTATATAATATTATATATTCAGGTAGCAAAAAATCACACTATTAGGTTATTCTGATCCTACTTTCTGTAAATTTGACACCTCCATATAAAATCCCAGTATGGATTGGTAATTTGACAGCACTTTTTTCAGTTTCCTTAACAGTTGAGGCTTGAAATGTAGAAATAGTAAGACATTTGGAGTATTTTTGCATGGTGTGGGACAACTCACTGCTGCAGCACTGTATTAAAGATTGAAAAAAAGGACAAATAATTTGACACACTAATCTGATTTTTACAGGATGCACTGGTCATAAGCAAGATAGGCCAGACAGATGTTCACTTCCAGAAAAGCCCGGTATGATTGGCAGGGGGAACAAAACAATTCCCTCTGGTATCTCCTTTGCATTTTACCTTTATATTTGGAATTGGAATTGATAATTAATATTGTGTCTTCAGAACTGAAGCCCACATCCTCCATTTGTAGTGTGCTTAGCTTTTATGAGTTCAAAGTAGCTATTTCAACTACGTCATCTGATGATGTAACTTCTTAATGTAACTTTTCTTTTTCAAAAAGCCTTTCTTCATTTTGCCTTGACAACATATCCAAATATTTATTTAGATATTTAGCACTGTTTAGTAATACCGAAACAGTTTATCACATGCATCAAAAGGATTATCATCTAGCTATATAAATGGTGTTAATACTCTTATTGAGGCTTGTTTCCAGATAATTATCTTGTAAATGCTGCCAGCTTCACAATAAAACAAAACATCTGTTGAACTTGGCTAACTGGAATGGAAAAACAGTTTCTTCTTGTATAATTTTTCTTATCATTTTTAGGAGCATAAAGTAAGAAAGAGGAGTAACTTGGTGATGGAGCGAGGGGGGAAAGAAGTATAAGGCAACTGTATGAATTGTCTTTTCAGTCTTATTTGCAAATATATTCTCAAGGCTAGAAAAAAAATAAGAGTTGTTTTGTGAAAGGCAACAAGGAAAAAACAAACATCAACCACACTACAGCTAATATAAGTTTCTTCTTTTCAGCCCAGTCACAGAGGCACAAAAGGTTTTAATCATCATTTGCAATGCTATGATGAGCAGTGGTACAAGCTCTGTTGTGGTTCAGGCAACCTTCTCATCAGTCAAGTCATCAGAAAAAGTGCATTAGGCTGAAAATGGTCACTGGAAGATGCTGCTTCCATATAAATTTCTGCATTAACAAGTATTAAGACTAGTTCCTGTAATTCAACTTGCAGAATGCAATTCTTACAATTCTTTTAATGTACTGGATACATTTTTTTGACCGCAACATGACAGTTATCCTAAAACCATCTCTTTACGAAAAAAAAAAAAAAAGAAAAAAAGAAAAAAAGAAAAAAAGAAAAAAAGAAATCGTTACAATCAATTTTTATTATTTCATTTGGCTTCTGATTTACAGGTTCTCTCTCAAGGTCTTAAGTAAGATTGATTTCAGCAGCTCTCAGGGATCTTACACACGTCAACCTGAACTCTGTGCCGTGTAGGATGTGCATTTTAATTCTGTTGTGTTAGACATACTAAAACCTTTGTTTGATCTTTTACCTTTACACCAGGAGCACCCGGAAAACCTGGAGAACCAGTTATGCCAAGCGGGCCCTACAAAATACAAAAGCACAAACCTGTAATTCTACAGTTTGGATTACAGAATTAGAATCTAATCACTGGGTAAGCCTCATTCTATGACTAAATTGAATTTTACTCACAAAACCTATTTTTTTCTATAACAACAAAAAAAACCCAAGTAATTCTGTAACTATCATTCTTTCAAGTAATACATATATGCTTTACAGAGTTTAGGTGTGGTGTTTTAACAGTGTATTTACTGACTGGAAAAGTTATAGCTCTTGATTAATCTATTAATGCTCAAATTTCAAGGGATAGAGCTATTAAAGTAATTGTTTTTTCATTTTAGGTTTTAATAAATACCTTATTTCCTCATATTCATGTTACTGTGGCAAGGTAATGAATAGACACGTGTTAAACAATCACTACTTGTTCCATAGAAGGTAAGATAGGAGATTTTTGGTTCTTTTAAACTTACAATATAAACCTACAAAAAAGTGAAATTGAAGTTAATTCTGCATTGAAACAGGTTACTAGACAAGATTTTTGAAGGTGAACAATATAACAAATGAAAATATGAGTAAAGACTATATCACTGTCCCTGCTTCCTACTCCTCTACCCCGCTGGGATTTTCAGATTCACCACCAAATTCCTTTTTCAAGCTTTAAAATGGAGATTTTGTTTCATCTTTCAAGGCGGTATGGATAAAGTCATGTACAACAGGGACTGTTCCCTGCTTGGATGCTTGTTCAGAGATACGGAGATACCTCTGTGAAAGGAATCAGAGCACAGGTTGGATTTTGGCTCACCATGCAGCAGAATGAACACTTCCATATGCCTGTCTGGTTTGACCCTGTTTTCTTAAGCAAGAAGACCTCCAATTATGGAGCTTGGAGTAAAGTTTTAAATTGTTTTCATATGTTAACATTAAAATGTTACAGCCCCCGAGCTGAACATAGGAGACCTTTCCTGCTGTATTATAATCTCTCTAGAAGGCGGCACACAGTGGTTGTAAGTATTCACTACAACTCCATATCCCAGATGATTCCTCTTTATCTTTTCCTGAATTTTTGTAAAATATGATGCATACTGAGAAAGAATGTTTATGTAATGAAGTTCTGCTGACAAACCTAATAAGAACAGTCTGTCCCAGTGAGTATTAATTAAAGACAACGTTTCTGCCATGACCTTGCAATGGATTTTGACAGCACTGATGTAAAAGCTCACTAAGTGTATTCTTAAAAAAAAACTATGGTCCAGTTTATTGGATCACAAATGTAAGTTTGCCAAATCTCTCTCTTGTTCAAGGAGAATTCCAGAACTGGGATATACCACTTTGTGCTAAGCCAAATAATCATGCATTTGAATAACAGTTCCTCCAATGAGAAACATGTGCACTAAGTATCAGTATCTCCCTTGTGACACTATATGCCAAAAACGTTAGCCAAGCAACCATCAGGTCCAATGAAGCTGAGCTTGTGTTTTATGAAAATAAAAATTACAAACTTCAAACTACTAGAGTTTTTTTGTTTGGCTTTAGACATCATTTTCAATGCTGAAAAAAACCTTTTCACTGTTTTGGTTTCCTGTAATAGCTGCGGTTACTCTTCTTTTCATGCTACACTAAATAATTGAGATTTGCAGCTTTTACAAGCTTACACTTATGTCTTATGCTTCTGCTATGGTTAATTGCTTCTTAATGAAGTTTGCAATAAAATAGCCCATTTGTTAAGAAGACATGGGAAAACGAATATTTCTCAGGACAAAACAAAAAGCAGGAACACAAAATGAAATTCTAATTGTGGGCAGGGCTGTGCATTTTGCTTGTCTTTTCCTTTAAGTTGAATATCACAAAGCAAAAGCAGTTCATGTCATCAGGCAAAAACTTCGTCAGCTGTATCCCAGAAGTAGCACTTTCAGAAAAAGCAAACAGAATAGCACGTTTTTAAGGTGGAAGTCTGCCTCATGGATATTACAAAATCCTCATAAGCTTTGACTCAGGAAACATACGCTTAGCACATATGGCTTCCTAATACATTTGCTCGTGTGACTTGACTTAAAGACATATTGTCAACGTGCACTGGGACTGGACTGTAGGACTGAACACAGCACATTATTTGTGCATAGGCTTCTGTTTTGTCAGCTCACTCTGTGACTCTATATAATTAAAACATTATCTTTTATACATTTTATAACTGATGAGTGCCAGGTAGCAAGTTCTGATACCAATGAGCAGCATTTCTTCTTGCTGCTTCTACTACAATGTCTATCTTTAAGATACTTGTCTCCCTACAGCATGGATCCCACTACATAAAAGCAGCAAAACATTCTCTCTCCAGGGAGGATGTTCCAGGCTACTTCTCCTGCAAATTCAAACCTTTAGATGAAGTAAATTACAGACAGTAACATTTCTCAGAAGATAGCATTAAAGTTATATTAAGCAATTCAATGCCGGTACCAGGAATCATTCACACTATCCAAGCTGCACTTAATAGCAACTGGCAACAGTTGTTCATGCTTCTTTCGACAATATCTAAAGGCAAAGAGTAAATATAAGGTGGAAAAAATACAAATGAGTACAACATTTACCATGGGCCCTGGCTTCCCGGGCATACCATGCTGGCCACGTCCACCCTAGAGTTGAAAAGGAGACTTTTACAAAGTCATCTTAAACAGACAAAAGACAAATCAAAATATATTTTTTTTCCGACTGGCAATTTGGGGCTAAAACAGCCTTACTAGAGTAGTTTTAGAGAAAATAAAACAAAAGCTAAGACCTTTTTGGATTACAGAAAAAAAATTCTTTTGGGGTGCTTCTCTTCACAGGCAGTTCTAAGGAATTACTGTGCTGCTAGCATTTTTCCATTTACTGTTTTTTTTTTATTATTTATTTTAGAGTAAATATTTCATCTCATCTGACTTTCTTAAGGCCTTAAGCTAGAGCAGAACACACATGGAAGTGACTAATAGTCATGTGAATAAACATTTTCAAGCTCAAGTTTTTAAATTTAAGTAAAGCAAGGGGAGAATTACAAGGAGATGGAAGCAAGACTCTACGTACAGGGGCACCCTGTGGTCCAATTCGACCTCTTTCTCCTGGCATTCCTCTAGGTCCCTGGAAGAAAATACAGAAAAGTACACTACTCATTGCAAAATAATCACAAGTGGAAAATATAGTTCACTTCTGTCTTCGTCCCCACCTCCCATGGGGCATGGACTCCTCATTTTTCTTTTTACATTTTTCTTTTCTTTTTTTTTTTCTCCAAACATCCTGGACTTTCCTTTGCTTCAGAGAAGTTTAATGCTGTATTTCTGCTTAGTAATGAAGTCTTCTCTAATGGCTTTTAATCAGAGTTTGACTAGTTGACATATGAAAAGAACAGCTCATGGTTACAGAATGAAGCTACCTTTTTTTCTTTCTGCAGGTGCATATTGTTAGATAGCAGGAATAAAACAGCAGTTAACCTAAGTCCTTGCAACCTCACAGACGTGTCTAGCGGAAATTAAATAACTGTAATTTGTTCCAATAGTATTACCAGCTGCAAACACAGTAAAATAAATTATGTATATACTCACCAGGGTCAATAACTCAGTCTCATTTACTGTTTCTCATTCACAACTAAGTGGCACTTCAAGAATATTACATTTTGCATGACACAGAACAGTGTCTTGCAGAGAGATGTCATGTGCTATCATGCAGGCATTGCATTTACATTACTGCTGAAAGTGGATTTTGCCATGTTATAACGCTCGCTACTATAACAGCTGTTCAAAACAACACCTGAATGAAAAATATGCTGCGCAAAACTCTTCTGTGCTCTTCGTGCCATGCATGCTTATCCTCAGCACCACCTTCAAAACCCTCTGTCAGTGATTTTCCATCTAATGTGTTTCTGATCTGCATCAGTTCAGTTCTATCTCAAAGCAAGCTGATCTGACTCTTGCCATATGGAAATTACTCCATATGAGGCATCGGGGTAATAAAAAAAGAGCATTCAATCACTGGAAATTTCCATGAGTTGGTAACCAATCACAAAACCTACATTCAAATATCTGTTCAGCTTTTTCATTTATTATGTTTTTTAATTGTAATAAATAAATAAATAATAAATAAATAAATAAAACCTTTAACTGTACTAAGAAAAAGTTTAACTTCAGGACATCAGTTGTAGGTCTCAAACATCCCGTATGTATTACATTAGCAATTATGTGTGCAATATTACAGCCACTTCCGTAAGTAAACTCCAATGCATGTGACACTCACTAAAGGGCCAGTTGCACCCATGGCACCTGTTGGGCCAGATTCTCCCTAGAAACACAGAAGAAACAATACAGTTAGATTTGAAAAAAAAAAAAAAAAGTTAGAGGAAAGCTTTTAGACTTTAAACTCGAGTTTCATTTTTCATCCCCCTTCCCTCAAGTTTATGCTGAAGAGGCAGATCTGCATAGCAACACATGTGCGTCACACATATTCCAGAGATGGGCATCATTCATGGGCATCATGGGAAGGGTCATATTTACACGGTCTCAGTGAAACAGGATTAATTCTTTTTGTGGAGATAACAGGCATCATTCATAAATCTCTATGCGTAATTAGGAGACACATCCTTTATCTTCTCTCCCAGGCTTTCACATGATTATTTAATTAACCACAATGATATTATTTTAGTAGTGAGTATCGAGCACGCTTATCTGAAAGAATCTGACCAGCTTCTAATCGACTGAGTAGGAAAAAGCAACAAAACAGGGGAGAAGCAGTAGGATTTATAGACAAGAAATGGACATATTCTCCTTCTGGTGCCTGTATCTGTCAACACATGCTGCCTACTGCAGCATTTCTACCTATTCTGGTGCTTCTGTTGTTGCTGCCTCCACTGAAATAGATGGGAAATCCTAGCAAAAAAATTTATCTTAGACAAGCTGTCCTGGACTATTGATTTAATGATCCCCCAAAAAATCAATATTTAACATTTAATTTTAGATCTTGGAAGATTCACTTCTTTATTACATTTTTAATCCCAAAGAAGAGTACCGTTTCACCTGTGATTACTGCCCTCAGCTGGCCAAACCAGCTTCAGCAACAGCACAGAACATGCAGAAAAGCCTGGAAAAGTTTTCCTATGCTCTTTCAAAAAAAGTTTTGAATTCGAAAGTATTGATTCCTGCCAGCAACCGTGCTTAAAGTGCTTTGAGTTAAAGCAGTAAGGCTGCGGAACTACTAATAAGGGACAAAAGTTCTAAGAGAATAAGACTCTTAGGAGAGAAATAGTCTGATAAAACATATTCTTTCTCCCAACGCTGTTTCTTACAAACTGATCTTGTTTAAGCAAAATTAAGATCTGCAAAGGGACCAAATGGTAACTTACAAGATGGGTATGGGCTCTATTGTAATAGCATTTACTGCCTTCAGTTAGTGACACAGGCAGACCCTGGCCAATTCTGTAATGATGTATTGCAGGTCCAAAACTGAGCCCCAGCTGTAATTGTGATTTTTGTGATTTCCACGTGCTCCCCTCCTGTACTAAAAGATTGCAGTTTGTAGTAGCTAAAGTGTATTGAACACACAGTAAAAAATGGGTAAGTTCATGTAGCCTCTTCTAAAAGCAACGAGTACTAACAGGAGAAAGACACAGAGCTTTGCTCTAAGGATATACTATCTTTCATTATTTGGCACTAGAGAAAGCATGCTTCAGCATTTAGTTCTTTCGGCCATGAGAATACCTTGGCTCCAGCTGCTCCAATTTCACCTTTTGGACCATCAAGTCCTTTCAATCCCTGTAAGAGTTATAAAAATACGGTGAGACAATATTTATACATGTGTACGTATAACTGGGTATACACACACAGACACAGAATTTCTACTGGTAAAGTACCTTGGTACTAAAGCGTTAAAAACAGACTGGAGAGGGCAAGAATTAAAAAAAAAAAAAAAAAAGTCCAGATGGAGAACAATTTTTAAACATTTCCTAAATGGAAAAAAAATTGTACAAACCACATTCCTTGGATTTGTGTTTTTTTTTTTTTTTCTGTTGCTGAAAAAGAAATCCTAAACACAACAAGGAGGAGGCTCTGAGCCATAGGAAATCTACTTATTCCTCCCTGAAGTAAAGTTCTGGCCGGAAAATTTGGCACTTTGTAATTACTCTGCCTTGCAAACATATTCAGCTCCAGACTTCTCCACCCTAATGCCAGACTTGCCAACAAAGTGAGAGAACTGTCAGGTTTGTCCCTCCTGAAGTTTGGCTGTGCTCATGCAAGCTCCTTCCAGATTCCCAGACCATTTGAAACTAGAGCGAAGAAAGGACTAAAGAATATAACACAGAGGTCAGCTGCACTTGAAGGGCACTAGCCTAGATTTTCTGCTAGGTTGTCTTCCTCTCTAGTGCCAACTTCTGTAACTGGCAGGACCAAGCGTATAGTAAAATTCACCACAGATATCAAAGAGGTTGAGTGTATTTACATGGAAACTGTCTTAAAATATTATCTATAAGGAAAGTAAAAATTCTATTTCTTACCCTGTGACCCTTGAGACCTGGAAGACCTGGAGCACCAGGAAAGCCTCGAGGCCCCTATGCAGGAGTAAAATAAAATAATAATTGAAATCAAAACAAAAACACTGATTTCTACAGTGATACAATTAGCGATAATGTTGTTAGCATGGAAAAGTACAACGGCATTACTGCTAAAACCCCTAACATTCCTCCTTGGTGACATAATATAGCCTGACACTTAACGGGTGGTCACAGAAGATGAACTTCCCCTTAGGAAGTCAAATAGTCTCAGCGTTAAGTAAGTTTATGCTGATATTAAAAGCTTTATGACTTATACAGGTGTATGATCAAACCTCAAATTTCAACAGGAGCTGTGAAATAAGAACCACTGGTAGACCAAGTTTTGAAGCTTAAATACCCAACACAGTTAAGCAGGGATAGAAAAATAGAGCTATCATTTAACATAAAACAGAAATACATCAAACCATGAACTTTCACATTAGAAAACATCACTCAAGTGGCATAATAAATTCCTGCTATGAAAACACCTTTAGCAATTATACCAAAACTGCACCGCACTTAGATTTCTTTTTAGCAGATTTCTTTTTCAGTAAAGGCTAAATAATGAAAAGGAGCTAGATGCCCTGTGTTATAATATTGGTTATCTTCATTCACAATGGAAATCACATCAGCGCCTTCATACTCTTTGGGAACAGTTCAGCAATATTAAAACATAGTATTTCTTCCTCTCCAGCAATCTTTTACTTAAAGATTAGGTGGGCATTTCTACTGCAACAATTCCATGCAACTGTAAGGACCTACATCTCATCCCTCACTTACGCAGCTGTCTGTGGGGCTTGCCTTAAGCCAAGGCAACGTGCACTTCTCTAATGGGGCATTAGTGCAGTCAACACTGTCCTCTGCAGTGCTACACAATTGTGGCAACGGCCTAAAGGCAGTGAGAATTGCAATACTTCTTTCATTCGTTTTCATGGGAACAAAAATTCCTGTTTTTTTACCAGTTTCTCATGCTATGCCTCAGAAGGCAGTTGCTTTCTGAAAACAAGGTCCCAGAACGTGCTATTTAAAACTAAACAATACCACCCTACCCTGCCTCCACTTTCTTCACTATGAGCACTTATTGTAAATGACTCTAAATAACCATGTGAAATAGCAGGAAACGGCTTCCTGAATCTTGCTCTTACATGCAAGTTGTTTCAATTGTAGGCTAGATTTTGGTGGGCATTATCCAATCTGATGACAGTGTACGAGATGATGTCTAAGTGGATGACACACAGAAATCCACCTTGTATATATACTGTCATCTGTTTTATAAATATTTCATCTTTGAAACTGGATAAAGCTGAAATATGCACCTGTTAAATAACTCTCCAGATTAACTCAAGGACGTTTGAACTACCTGCTTCGCGCCCAGCTATCACAATGCTTTAAGTCATCAGAGTAACAAACAGAGAGTTGACAAAAATACTTCAGAAAATTCATGGCAAAGTGTTGCAATCATTATTATTGATGACATAATTATGACCATTTTCCTAAAATGTAAATAGTCATGCTCTTACTGGAGATCCTGGAAATCCAGGCTCACCGGCTTGTCCTGGTCTACCAGGTTCACCCTAAGGAAAGAAAAAAAAAAAAACACATGAAAATAGCTAATAAGAAAATAAATTTCTTCTATCACTCATATATCAATAATATGTATGATTGTATGTACAATAAAATGGATATGAAATCATGTGTATATGTACATACTCATGAGTACAGTCATAAATTTAGTTAAGGGTATAGTCTGTTACGACAAAATCAAAAAATTTTAACTTGAAAAACTTTGTTTTCCAGATCCAGGTGTATATCATCATTAGGTTTCCCTTTCTCATCATGCAATGCTGAAGTTTATGGGCTAACTAAAGCAAGAAATAATTACGAGACTGTGCTTTAACCTGAGGAGTTAAAGGAAGGTTCTGAAAAGATAACACATCTTTTGCTAAGGATTATAGTTATGATACTGGACTTAATTAGAAGTATAGTTACAAAGGAAAGGAAGCATAAAAGTTGTTAGAACATGCACATCTGCTGGTTTAGTCACCAGCACAGAGAAGCCAATATTTATTTTATTAAAAATAAAGCAAAATGAGGAGAATAACAAACTTACATCTTCACCAGGTTTGCCTGGAGGTCCTTCTGGTCCACGAGAACCAACTGGACCCTAAGAAATAAATGCATTTGTCAAGAATTCAGCTGTCATAGTATCTATGTGCTTCATTTGTTAATATTGTTTTATAAGAACAGATGCAAAAAAAAATGTTGCTTTTATATCTAAGCTACTTTAACTACTCCTCAGAAACATCTGTTCCTAAGAAATCATTCTGCTCCTAAGAAACATTCATTAAATTACATAAAAATGCAGGAGAGATTCTTTAGCATATAAAAAAAACCCTGCTCTAAAGTCATAGCAGAGGCACCTTTCAATGCCATCTCAGCAATGTCCAGGGAGAGAGGACTGTTCTCATACATAGCTATCAGACTATAGCTAACACTGATGATAGCACTGTGGGTTCAAGAAAACATGGTCTATGCTCTTGTTTTTACCTTCTAGTCATTATATCATGTCCAAAAAATGAATATTTTTAACTTTGAGTTACCTGAGCGAATATGGGCTACTAGTGCTCAGTGTTGTGGTGGAAAAGTGATTTAGTACTATAATCACTATCATTCACATTCAAAAGTACTAGCTACTTAATAGCTCTTGTCAAAGCAACATACCAAAACAATCTGTTTTAAAGTAAGGAGGTATAATAAATTGTATGCAATTCTACTGTAGAAAGGTTTGTATTTATTTGGTCTTACCATAGGTCCTGGATCTCCAGGTTCACCGGGTGGACCTGTGGGGCCAGCACCACCCTAAAATTAAGAACAGACAAATACAGTTATGACTTCCTAAAAGTAAAAACATAAAGATATAAATTAAAATCCATGAGCAGGAAAATCACAATCTAGCTTCTGATTCAGCACAAGCTCATTTTGCAAAATGAGTGGAAGTTGGATACTAAGCTCCTTCAATCTTTAGAGAAGTCCTGATCCATACCTATGTCCTACTGGAGGCTAACACCATGTCGACACCGAAACCAGAAGTGAACAGTCAGCATTTTCATTGGTCTTTCCTCGTTAAAAATGTGTGTTGGCTTAAAGCCTTTATGCAGCCCTAATAAATTGTTCCCTTTGAGTTAACAAGACTCTTCAGAAATCTGCCAGAAGCATCAATATAATTTTAGGACCATCTCTCGCTTGCAGCAAACAACTCCAAAGAATAATACTCTGCCACAAATCAGAAATCGAATGAGACAAGGAAGCCAAGAATTAATGGCACAGACCATTGCTAATCTGAAGTATTACAAAGTGGAGGCAAGAGCAATAAAATCACACCTATTTTGTTTTCAACTGAACCATTTTTTAAAAGCAAGAAACAAATTATGATTTCTTGGATATGGCATATTTGCACTAGATCAGTAAAAAGTCACACTGGGTAGAGTCCAACAGTGTAAAAAAAACAAACAAACAAACAAAAAAAAACACAGGGGGATAGAAGTGATAAGGTCATCCTCCTCCAATAGAGTGTTCAATGTTTTTAATTGTGTAACACTTTTGATTATTTAGCTTAATTCCTTGTGAAAAATACCGGTAGGTTACTCTGGCAATAAAAAGGCATGCATTAGGGGCATCTAATTAGATGTCTAATGTGTATACAGTATAACGTAACTTCTCATGACAACATTTATTAACAAAAAATACTTATAGGCTAACTGTACCATAGGTTTAACTCCGTAAAAGCAAACAGGCCATAGTAAATCCCTTTTCTAATGGAATTGCTTCGTATATAGTACCTCTGGAGCATGGCTCCTGAAAACAGCATATTTAAATCCGCCTCTAGATGAGGATGGATTCAGCTGTACTTGAAGACGGACATGTCTTTGAGTCAAATTCTAGTTACATACACTAGCTACTATGGACTTTGCCTTTTTTTTTTTTTTTTTTTTTTGCCACTTATCTAAAGTCACATAAGTCAAAGGACTTACTTGTTTTCCCTGGAGACCTTGAGGACCTCTTGGACCCACTGGACCCTTTTAAAAATACAGCATGTTACATCCTGAAAAATACACTTACTCAAATAGCATTCATTTTGCTGAGACAGCTGAATGGCCTGATTGTGACTTCCAAGATAAGATAACATTTCTATGGTCAAAGCCTCTGAAAACTCTTTACTCAAGAGATAGATGTTATGAAGTACAAAGCAAGCACGAAGAATTGAAATCTTCAAACTCAAAAAAAAAAATGGAGGGGCATAACTCATTATAGAATGAATATACAACAAAACAGAGACATAATTCAAAATACTGGTTTGCTTTCTTTCTGGAAGGTCACAGTGCCAGGCATCAGCAATAAGAACCTGAATGCCTGCATAACTCTGCCAAAAATGTAACATTTGTTTGTGACGAATAAACACACTTTGAACTGAGTCTCATTACTAAAATTAATATAATACAATCAGTGACAAAATAAATTCATCCAGCTATTCTCGGCCATGAGCAGGAGTATGATAGAAAGATAAGAAGTATTTTCATGATTCACATAAGACATTACAACATTTTCAAAATGGTTGGGGTTGGGTAACAGAAATCCAGATTTTCTCTTAAAAATATTTCAAGGGATTTTTTAGGAAAGACTTCCTTCTCAATTACACACTTTACTAAGATGTAGAAATAATGCTTACCAACAATAATTCTCTTGCTTTGAGTAATACAAAGAAAAATATATCAGACATCAATTGTATTTTGGCAGAGGCTAATCATTTCTATCTTCAACACAACACACAATCCATTACATTTTTTCCCTTTTTTTATATTGCATTTAATTTACTTTAAACCAAATGCCAAAATGTAAAGCCAATGTAAAAGAGTTAGTAAATGCCAGTTAAAATTTTAATCAAAGTAAAAACAAAACAAATCCATGCTATAGCTGAGTGATAGACATTAAGTCAAGAAGGAAAGGAAAAGAAAAAGGATATCCCAGAACAGGATCAATCAATCCCAAATGTAGTAATATCAGAAACTCAATTTCAGCTGACTTTAGCAGACTTGGGGTAAGGCTGTAGAGAACACAAGATTTTGAAAAATAAAGTCCTTTAAAGACATACTAATATTAAAATGAATCCTGTTTGGGAATGGCAAAAGAAGAAGGGGAGTACAAGAGGTGTGATGTCTGAAATATGGTGTGAGTGAAAGGAATAAACAGAATGATCGTGGGCAACAAAAATAAGCAGGATAGAGTCATTATATGTAACCAGAGTAAATTCATAGACAAGAGACATTCATAAAAAGGAAAAGTTCTTTAAAGAATTTGATTCAAAAGTTAATTCTATGGGAGAATATCAAATTATTTTTAGAAACTTTTCTTTTAAATTGCACTGAAACTGAGTTCAAAGGTTACTGGTGGGGATTTGAATCATAGAATCATAGAATGCTTAAGGTTGGAAGGGACCTCTAGAG